ATCCATTTGGAAACACATGGAGTCAAATCCTGATTGGCAATTCTCTGTATAAGGACGCTACTAAGGACTAAAGACCTCTGTCCATATTATAATACCTCAGTGCGTATAACGCAACGTGAAATATGTAATTACACAACTCGATCATTTGCGTAACATACTCCAGCGTGCTGTTAAAAAGTGCGTAAACCGTTTGTGTACAACGCATGGCTGATAACTACTGGGGCCGGTTTCACGAAGCGTGATTAACTTTAATCATGATTAAGCCACTAATAATTATTAACTTCCCGTAATTATGATTAGTTATTTATACTTAAAAATCTGATTCACGAAGCGATTTAAGTACATATAAACAAATCACATAATTAGCCGACTTCAACATGAATAGACTGGTACTCGCTTCCCTCTCGGCTTAGTTACTCGATGGGAATCGAGTAATCGAGGTGGGAGCGAGTACCAGTCTAAAACAAATTACACTGTATTCAATATGGCGGACAACGCCAAAAATATCTGCACATAAAAAGTTCGGTACATGAAAAGGAATTAATTTGTAACTATAATGACTGAAGTAGTACAGCAAATCTTAGATAATTTAAATTTTCTTGGGAAAAAATTGAAGTAAAATTTCCAATTGTAAAATCTGCAGCGTACTTAATATACTAGTGAGTACAATTAAATATTGTGATTAACTTAATCATGATTAAAGTTAATTACGCTTCGTGAAACAGTCACTTCAATTTAAGTACGAGAAGTTAATCATGATTAAAGTTAATTTAGCTTCGTGAAACAGTCACTTCAATTTAAGTACGAGAAGTTAATCATGATTAGTGATTTAATCACGATTCAATACTTGAGTACGCTTCGTGAAACCGGCCCCTGGTGTTATCAGGAGTGTATCAATATTTTGATACACTCCTGGTGTTATCAGTAGCAGAGCATGGCCTTGATATGTAATGCATACGACACGATGAAAGAAGATTTCCACGGGGAAAAAAATGAAGCGTCGATTGGCTAAAATGTAGCAACAGGCAGGCAGGCAGCGGTCATTTCCTTACACACAGACAGAGGATAAAACGAATAAATACACAAGGACAATACATAAGCAAGATAATAAGATAATAAATATAAGATAGCAAGATAATAAGATGCATAAGCAAGATAAGATTCGAGACAATACGATGAAGTGTGATAGCACGAGACGATGTGCTGTAAGATAACATATTAGAATCAATGTTATGCGAAAGGAGTCGAATCGTGGGAGGCGAGAAGAAGAAACGAGATGAGAATCGAGGGCGGCAACAGGGGGATAAGAAAAGAAAAACGTGGAAAGGGGAAGAAGAAAAGGAGAAGAAAGACGTAGAAGAGAAGAATAGGAGGCGAGAACAAAGGCGTGGAGGAATGGGGAGGCGAAGTGGGAGAAGGGCAATGAGAGGGGAGGCTAGGCAAAACGAGAATAAGGCAATAAGAGAAACGAAAAGAAATTACTGGAACCCAGTAATTCATGAATGACGTGAGTCGAGAAGGCGTTTTCGTTTCTGGCATCGAGGGCACAGCGATTTCGTTATTATGACTAAATAGTAATGATTACTTTCACAATAAAGTTCTAAATAGGGAATATAAAATGAATGAAGATAATATAATATTTAAAAAAATCGTCAATCCTATGCAAATCAGGCTGCATATCATAGGATCACATCACGTACGTTACACATCGCTTCCGCGGGCATTCCAATTATTTCTACCAACCTAGTATTCAGTGATTTAAAGTTCAGCAGAAGGCACGGTCTGTACATTGATAAACATAATACAGTGTGTACATAATACAGTATTGCATAAAACAAAGTGATAGCCACAATATAGTCTTTAATTAATACATGGTGATAGCCACAATATAATCTTTAATTAATATACATGGTAATGTACACAATACCGTATTTATACAATTCAGTCTGCGCATACTATATTATATAACACATGTTATACAGTCGATCTGTAGTGGCTTCAGTGCTGGGCTGTTACGCCCGAGTGCCTATTACTAGCTATGCAGATACATCACACGGGCCACGCACTGACTAGCCGCTCTATTTTTATCCGGATGCCAGGTTTGCGATGTTTTAGGAAATGTATTTTTAAACTTGATATGCTCGCGTTTAGGCTGTACTTGCGATATCTCTCTCTATAGATGAATTTCACGTAGGCCCTTACATGTCTACAGGAATATGACAATAACTAATGGCAATATGACAATGCTATAGATGTAAAGGAATTTCACTGAATCTTAGAGGATATAACCATTCTGGATTTTAGGGTAACATTTGATATAGGCTCACTCTGCTTCAGGATAATATCAGGAGTGTATCAAAACTTTTTGATACACTCCTGATAATATTTTTTATATAGGTTCACACTAATTTAGATTCTTAATAAGGCTCGGCGAGATTCCTGTTTACAATAATGTAAAATTACAATAATAATCGTACTAACAATAACAATCAACATCGAGGTTCGTGTGTATACTTGGTCCGTCATCGTGGCCGGATGTATACGCGTGGTCATGCACGTTGGTTTTCGCAATATAAACCACGACAACCCGTGTTCACGAGAGGAGTGCCGCGAAGCGATGACAATAATTGAAGGCCCCAATATTTCGCGTGAAGTTAATTTAGAATATAGTATCTATAACGCGTAATGTCGTCCAAGTGGTCTGCGAATAGACCTTCACTACAACCGTGAATAGGCGTTGGCACGACGGCAGAATTACTCGCGGCTCGCCATCTACGTATATGGGAGAGATGACAGCAAGCACATTCACCGCATTACCCTACACGGAATTGTCTATCGGCCGTGGCAGAGGATACATGCTAGCATGCGGCAGCCACTCACAGACCGCCAGACTCTGCAGCCACGATGCTCTCTATTTACTAACGGGCGCTTGTGCCCTCTCCAGCACCCTATATGGTGCTCGTCGTGCGTACCACCGGCGCATGCCCCGCGAGCCGCTATATATATCTGGCGGAGAGGATGCGGAGGCTGTGTCAGTTCAGTGAGCAACTCCACGTAACCACACCTCAGCTGTAGCTTCTGGTGAGTACACACACTGTAGCCGCGCACGCATGCAGGCGCCGCGTGCATCTCTCTGCGTGCACGCGAAATAGATTTAGAGCAAGCGGTTTGGGTTAGCACTACGGGGTGTGGCTGGCTGGCTCTGCGGCGCTCCAGCGGGGGCGGTTGACGCCATGTTACCAATCGAATACGCGACAGCTTCTTCGCAGAGTTAGTTTGTCCAACGGTTAAGCTCGTGTATAGAATTCGTTTGATCAGCGTGGTCTTAGCCCGAGTTCATTGCTTAACGTAATAGTTTACAGTTTGATGTTTGCTGTACTCGCTTAAGTTTACGTTGAACGTAACCCGACGGGACAGCTCTTTGTTGGCAACTTATTAATGGCGTCCGTGATATTTGTTCCACACGAGTTAAGCTACATGACATAGGTTAACGAAATACTTATGAGTTTCGATGCTAACCTTTTTCAATAGTATATATTTATTGAAAATTTGAATGTAGGAGTGGCTTGCGAATTTCTTCTTGTATACTGAAAGTTTTCTACCCGGAAAAGCATTTGTCAGACACCGCGAAAATTTAAAAATTCTTTAACGTAGTTCTCGCTCGGTTCTCGCAATTACTCGAGATTTTCTGTCACAAAAAATTAACGAGGTTTTATTCGTTTCCAGTATAAATATAAATATATATATATATATATATATTTATTTATTTATTTATACGCTTTTTACTTATATACTGTTGCTTCAAATCCACAGAGGCAACTTCATGTAGGCGACTGTGATTTTGTCAGCTAATTTGACGTAACTTTTCGTACTGTCAACATTGACGCGTTCGCTAACCATGAAGTCTGTTTCGTACTCCGGTTTAATCCACTCGGTATGTTTATTTGTTATTAGTATCCTGCCCAACCAGCAAATATGTGCGACGATGATGATGTAGCAGCTCTTGTCGTGGACAATGGCTCCGGAATGTGCAAGGCCGGTTTCGCCGGTGACGACGCCCCACGTGCCGTCTTCCCCTCCATCGTCGGAAGACCACGTCACCAGGTGCGCAGGCTTTTAAATCACATTATTACATTTTACATATTGTTCATGATATTAATATTTGGTTAGGATGCTGTTTCGTATATTATTAAATTATTTACGTCTAGGCACGTGCAGTGCGATGAGAGACCATGACGATCATAGCGTGTACTCGTAACACATAATACTGTCATGATTTTCTCTTGGTTCACTCGCGAGCCAGAATTTCACACTTACAATGTCTTCCGCAGGGTGTCATGGTTGGCATGGGACAGAAGGACAGCTATGTAGGAGATGAGGCTCAGAGCAAGAGAGGTATCCTCTCTCTGAAGTACCCCATCGAGCACGGAATCGTCACCAACTGGGACGATATGGAGAAGATCTGGCACCACACCTTCTACAACGAACTGCGTGTTGCCCCAGAGGAGCACCCAGTCCTGTTGACTGAGGCCCCACTGAACCCCAAGGCTAACAGGGAAAAGATGACTCAGGTAAATGGTCGAATTAATAATTGCGTTAAATCATGTTTCTAAAGGGGGTCAACAGATGTAGTAAAACGATAAAAATAGCGCTACTTTACACATTATTTTTAACTAAATTATGGTTTATTTATGCCACATTAACTTTTAATATCAAACTTTAATAAACCATTTCCGGTATCGTTTATGAAGACCGCCATGGCATGTGTTGCCGCCTGGTGGCATTGGCAATTTTTTTAGGCGAAATTATGTTTACACTAAGGCTTCAAGAAGTGAAAAATTATCGATCCATAATTGTTATTTAGCGGTAAAATTATTATTTAGCTTTTACATCATCTAACTGAATTAACGGCAAAATCTATATGGAAAGATACATAATAAACGCAACCACTGTCAAACCGCTAAAGGCAACACATATATAGCACACAGTATGTAATATTGATGGCAATCTTTCATTGATAGGTTGACGAATAAGTTCTCCTATAATACACACACACACACATATATATATATAGTATATATATATATATATATATATATATATATATATATAGATATATATAGATATAGATATATAGATATATAGATATATAGATAGCTAGATAGATAGATACAATGAATTGCGGTCCTGGCCGTCTTACAAACGACGTATATATCCGTAACTATAAACGCTCACATATCTACTCCATTATTGCATAATCTAATGTATGTGTTTATGTTTTTGGCAGATCATGTTTGAGACTTCACACCCCAGCCATGTACGTCGCCATCCAGGCTGTCCTGTCTCTGTACGCTTCCGGCCGTACCACCGTATCGTGCTGGACTCTGGTGATGGTGTCAGCCAACACCGTCCCCATCTACGAGGGTTACGCTCTGCCCCATGCCATCATCCGTTTGGACTTGGCTGCCGCGATCTGACCGACTAGCCTGAATCAAGAAGTCGCTGACGCGGAGCGTTGCTACAGCTTCGTCACCACCGGTAGGTCTGCGTTAGTATTGTAGTTAAGAAATAATACTATAAATTGCCCATAAGTGTAATACAACAGAATACGCCGCTACAACTTATTATATAATGAATTAAGTAACTAATCGTATTCGTTTTGCCACCTGCAGCCGAGAGAGAAATCGTGCGTGACGTGAAGGAGAAGCTGTGCTACGTCGCCCTGGACTTCGAGCAGGAGATGGCCACCGCTGCTGCCTCCTCCTCCCTGGAGAAGAGCTACGAGCTTCCCGACGGACAGGTCATCACCATCGGCAACGAGAGGTTCCGTTGCCCAGAGGCCCTCTTCCAGCCATCCTTCTTGGGTAGGTAGTATTTTGCGTTGGTTTATTACTATGCAAAATCAATTGGCAGATGACAATTGTATCTAGGTCAATATAACAAAGGTCGTTAGAAAAATGAATCGAAGTGGCATGTGCGAATTAAATAGATTGGGGAGCGGGAGAGTGAAATAGACAAACAGTAGATGTTATTGATATTATTTCTAACCCTCGTGTCTCTGCCCACAGGAATGGAATCCACTGGTATCCACGAGGCTGCCTACAACTCCATCATGAAGTGCGACATTGATATCCGTAAGGATCTGTACGCCAACACTGTCCTGTCCGGTGGCACCACCATGTACCCAGGTATTGCCGACAGAATGCAGAAGGAGATCACTGCCCTTGCCCCAAGCACCATGAAGATCAAGATCATTGCCCCACCAGAGAGGAAGTACTCCGTATGGATCGGTGGCTCCATCCTGGCTTCCCTGTCCACCTTCCAGCAGATGTGGATCAGCAAGCAGGAATACGACGAGTCCGGCCCAGCGATTGTGCACCGCAAGTGCTTCTAAGCGCTGTCGCCATCGTCACGATCTTCATCTCCATCTCTGCTTTTTAATCTACCATGTCGGGCTGTACCGCGCGTCGGCACAAGTGGCGCGACCTGGCTGCGCTTGACGAAACTAAAACATGATCTTGTCGCAAACGTGTAGAGCTGTGTGAATTGCGCGTGATTGCTGCCAGCTTGATCATGCCGCATTTCTCCTGTACATAGCCTGTTAACGAAGAAAGATATTGTTCTTAGCTTAACTTAATTAGCGACGAGGACGCAAATCTAGCTTTTATTCGGAACCAAACATTTGATGCATTTTTTTTCTATCAAATTACAGCGTCTTTGTTAAGAATATACAGATTTTCATAATTCACTTCGCCATCATTGTCTTACCTGAAAAATGTGTATAATTAGATGAAGCAAAAATAAAATAAAAAAAGTTATTAATATGTTTTATACATTACTCGTTGTTAATACTTTTCATTTAGTGTAAATCACAAGAACGGACTTAGCGCTAACATTAATTAAACAGATATATAGTTTAGACATGTTGACGCGTACATCTTTTTGGTGCAACAACGAACGATTTTTATCGCAAACTAAACAGGAAAATATGTGTGTTTGCTATCAAACCCCCAGAAATTGCGTAAGAATGTTAAGACAAAATATATACTACCTGCTCCTAGCTAGGTATAACCTTAATCACTCTGCTAGCGCTTGGATCAATGGCTCATGTGGGGTCGATTGCGAAGGAAAGCTACTTTGTTGGAAGTCTGTACTCTTATAAATATAAAATCATGCAATATAATGTATGCGCGAATTGCAATCGTAGACAATCCGTCGTCTCATGTGTGTTCACAGCGTTACGGGGTTACCACGGTAACGTACGGCTACCGCGCTACTAAGCTACGATCTGGTCTCGTTTTCGCGTGCTCCCGAACAGTGCATCGCAGCGACCGAAAAGGGCCGATTAATTAATTCGCAATTAGCCATTAGATGCCTAATAACTCGATATCTGACATCGCATGTACGTCACGCGCTCCTACACGCTTAAAAGATACGCACTTCTTATGTGGCTCGGAAGGAAGAGTGAATGCTTAAGAGAATACCCGTGTGCCGAAAAAAATGGTTAAATGTAAGATATGTTTGGAGGTATTTCGCCAGATCCTCCCGTGCTGACAACCTTTGCTTTACACTCTCGGCCCGTTGATCGAGCCACTTGCATACACAAACACAAACACACAGGCATCAGCTAGGGATAGATTCATCATTGGTGCGTCGGAACTAGGTTAGCTCGTGGGCATGATATCCTCCTATAAGCCCATAGACCATAATATCCATAGACCCTATGAGCCATAATGCGATACGACGAACAAGTTCAACCCTGCTTTACAGGCGCCAAATATCTGCACAACGCGCACGAGACGGGTTTCATTCTCGCATCCATAGCAGACACGAAAACATTGATTCTCCTCACATGCACCTGACATTCTTTTCATGATCTCACAATGTGGCGTTAACGCTATAACTTCAATTACCATTACATTCACAGCATTCACAATTCTATATGTATCTATAGGTGAATATAGTATATGGGTCAGCAAATGATGCTCCATAATAACATCAATATCAGAAGTAGATAATAGGAAAGTCCCTATTATCTACTTAATTCTGATCAATATCAAATTACACCAGCCTTTTGCAACGCTTTTGCAAACCGCGTTTTTCGCGGTGCGTTTGGCGCGGGGTTGAGCAATCAATGCGTGTCGAACGAAAAAAAGAAAAGAAAAAGAAAGTAACGCAAAGATATCCGAGCAAAGCGTCGAGAGAAACGTGGAAACAAAATATGCGGCAGCTTGCTAGAAAGAGGGCACCGTATAGTGCATGTGATAGTGAGTGCGTCAGCTTGAAAGTTGCATATAGGACCTTGACCGAGCTAGTTCAAGCTTGCGCGCGCAGCGTGGAATCCTGTTGCTCTGCTCGCTCATATACTGTGAACCCGTGGCTACCCGCGCGCAACGTTTGCCGTGGCATACGCGACTTTCGCTGTACAAAGCTCGTCACACCACATACTGTGACGCAACACACACGCGCCCGCGCACACGCAGACGTACGCACATACACGGGAACGCCGCGTGTGCGCGTCGAAATATCATGTAAACAAGCAGTAAAAACACGAACTCCCATATTATCGTGTTGCTCGCCGCTCGGAAAAGAAGGCAAGATGTCGGTGATCACTAGCCTGCTGCCGAGAATCGAGATTCCGGAGAACACGTCGCTGCACGCATTTCTCGACGAGAAATTCGCGATACACCCGGGCGATAAGGCAGCCGCGGTAAGTTTGCATATCCGAAGGCGTCTGCGCGTATTCAGGGCCGTAGGCTGATCAAATTCCTAGGGAGGGGGGGGCAAAATGTCATGACTCAACTGTGTAATGATGAGCGACGGGCGCAGGTCTTGATCGACGTCCATAGTATGGGGGGGGAGGTCTGAGACAAGGCACAAGTGACCAAAAAATCACGTTAGGGTTATTTCCGATTATTGGCTAAGCTTATTTGTTAATTTTGCTCCAAATTTTAGGGGGCAACTGCCCCCTTGCCTCCCACAGGCTATGTGGAGAGTATGTGCAGCCATAGCTCTAGTACTATAGCCCGCGTACAGTTTCCGCTCCGCAGGCCTGCGCCTGCGGCAACTGTACGCGGGCTATAGGACCATCCTTAAAAAATTCTATGCTTGCTGTCCTCCGACCGACCCACGAAAATAGCCGGGACCCAAAAGTTTTTATTTTTATTTTATGTTTTTTTTTTTCTTTTCTTTACATTCCTCATAGTTAAGACTGAAACACAAAGCATGTGTGGCAAACATGAGGACAGACTTAAAATAACTATTATGCCTCGCAAAAAAGATACCTACCTACCTACCCACTAAAAAAATCATGGGTCGGGGGACAGCAAACATAGAATTTTTTAAGGATGGCCTCTAAGTACTGGAGTAGTGATTCCCAACCTTTTGGACTCCCCGTACCCCTAATTTTATCCCCTGGTACCCCTTCGCCCACCATAACAGGGGTGTGTACAGGATTTGATGACGGTATTCGATAAAAATAAACGTAGAAAAAATCAGAAAAAAGGTATATTCACTCAATCAATCAACCAATCAACAAATCAATCGATGAACCAACTAATTAATCAATCAATCAATCAATCAATCAATCAATCAATCAATCAGTTGATCGACTGACTATGGTCAGGTGTATGTGCGTGCGTGCGGGCGTGTGTGTATGTGTATAGACATTTTTTCGCTCTTTCATGCATTTTATAAATAACGTAGTGAATGCAATAGCACAAATTCTTCGTTGTTCTTTATTAGAATTTGTCATTTACGTGATAGCCTGGTAGGACGCACACTGGTTAAAACTACACATGAGGTTCACGCAATATCTGGCCGTTATGACAGCCGGATCAGTTTGAACCACTTAATAACAATAATAATCTCCCAGTAGAACCACCACCAGTAGAACCTAGAATTCTTGCTGCACGTAATATTAGTTCCTCGCCTTTTGCCTCGTGTCTCACACAGCAGTGATATTGCGTTAGCTACTTGCTATGTGCAATACAAACCAACC